TAGCCTGAGAGAACAACAGCGGTAGCAACAGTAATGTGGTTGAAACACTTTCTGTTATATATACATGTTTATTAAAATGACATAATGAGTAACACTAACAGCATGGAACTGAGGCCTTCTTGAGAAGCCACCAGTTGCTCACCTACTCGAGAATTTCCCAACATTTTATGGAACCCGACTGTTCATTACTGTATTCACAAGAGTCCCCAGCGGTCCCTGTCCTGAGCCAGATTAATCCAGTCCATGGTACCCAATCCTATTTCTCAAAGTTCCGTTTTAATATTATCCTCCCACCAACATCAGGTATTCCTAGTGCTCTTTTTCCTTCTGGCTTCCCCACCAAAACCCTGCACGCGTTCCTCTTCGCTCCTGTGCGTGCTGCATGCCATTTTCATCTCACTCTCCCTTGACATGATCATTCCTGTAATATTTGGCGAATGGTAAGAGTTCCGAAACTCCTCATTATGCAACTTTTCCAGCGTCCTATTCTTTCATCCCTCTTCGACTCAAAAATTCTCAGTACCCTGTTCTCAAATGCCCTGTATTTGCTCCTCTAATGTCAGAGACCAAGTTTGACTCCCATACAAAACTGCAGGGAAAATTGTGAAAAATTTAGCTTACTACAGCAAATTCAAAACACAAAAATTCACCTTGTACAATATGTGTCTGTGTGCAGCATAGCAGCATCATAATGAATAGATCCCTCTTACGAATGGGATAATTTGCTTTTAAAGTGGAGTTTTCCGTTTTGAATGCCGTTGATGCATTATAGTTTTATCACGCGTTTTATGGTCGTGACTAATAATGACGGGGTTTGGATTGGTTGATAGGATTTATTCATCACGCCTTTACAATCACTCGTAATCACAATCTATTACAATAACTCGCAATAAATGACTGCGTAGAACTCGCTCCATTCCGCTCTTAACTACGACTGACTCCATATATGGGCGGTATTTTATATAGCGTTTCCATATCCAAGGAAACATCTGTCACACAGCTACTTGTTTGTTTCCAAGAATTCACCTCCATGGAAACGTGTTTCTCAGCGCGTTCCCTGGCAGTGGGTCTGCATGTCACAGTATGAATGTAAAATAAGTATATGATCATCTTTTTGCTTTAAGGTAAGCAACTTCGTATAGAGTTCATATGCGCCTTTGTTGAGATTGATAACTGGGTCTTTAAAACGATGTGAGCTATGTCCGTTGTCCTTACAAGTCGCACAGCCCCTGTCATCTGCGCTTTTTTTAATTCGCTTAGTGGGGGTGGAGTCCAACTGGGTCCACTCGGCACGGCGGCCACTGATTGGCCTATTGTAGCCTGCCCGGGGTGATTATGATGATGGAGAATTTGGCGGAATGAAGATTGGCAGGGGAAACCGAAGTACTCGGAGAAAACCTGCCCCAGCGCCACCACAAATCACACTTGACCAGACCCGGGATCGAACGCGGGCCGCCGCGGTGGGAAACCAGCGACTAACCGCTTGAGCTATGGCGCGGGCCTTATCTGCGGGTTGATCAGATACAATGCAATGAAAGGAACACACGAGTACTAGGACACTGTTCAGAATAAGAGTTGTCGCTGTGTAGAGGCTAATACTCGTGTTTTTTAATGCATAGTGAACTTAAAAATATCCAGTATTGGGGATTTATTTTAAAACAAGTTTTGTCATAATTTCAGCCCCTTTCATTCCTGGTTTTGGTCGTCAATTTCCAAGCTTATTTACTTTATTAGGGAAAGAAAGTAGACATACACGTCTTTGGGAATCGTGCTGTTCGTGGAGTTCCCTTTAAACTTTTGAACCAGGTGCCCCTTTTCACAAAACTATATGTATGAACGGTATGCTATTAGAGGCCACTCCGAGGCCGTACTATTAATTTCCCATAATCTTAATACAATGAACTGGCTGATCGGACGTCGATCAGAACTGTCAATGTACAAGCTGCTCCTGTGTAAACAAATGCTGCGACCAGTCTGGATATATGGCGTCCAACTATGGGGATGTGCGAAAAAATGCAACATCGAAGTAATCCATCGATGCCAGAACAAAGTACTAAGATGCATAGCAGTTGCGCCCTGGTTTGTACGCAACAGGGACCTCCATCGAGACCTCGGTGTCGAAACAGTCGCATCCATTACTGCAAGATACGCCACCTCACACGAAAACCGACTTCGACATCACGTCAATGAAGAAGCGTCCAGGCTCCTAAATGGGGGAAACCTAACCAGGCCACTCAAACGGACCAAACCTTACGAACTAGCCAAGCAGCCCGACAGCTAAGGGATCCGATAGGCGAACTTAACTTCATATAATCTTAGTAACTTAGTGTCAAATTAAAACAGAGTGTTACTTCAAGCGAACTAGTCTTTGTAACATTTTGCTTACATCTTGTAGCAGCCAACAGAAAAAAAAAATCTTAATACAAAATGTAACATGACGTACGCGCACACGTTTGAGGTAGAATAGGACTGCGACAGGCGCCTCTTATTTCAGGGGCTTGAATGGTATATGGTAATAGCACCGAGAAGCAGTACTACCGTTATGTCGTTGAACATGGCAGCAGCCAGAGGACGGTCAGTTTTTCCACTAATTATGATGATCGCTACTACACAAACTTGTGAGTGAACCCAATTTTTTATGCTATGTATTGTGGGTGGATGAGGCAACATTCGCAAGGCGTGGAACAATCTCCACAGCCCACATGAATGGACACTGGAGAATCCTTCGACGCTGTCCATATTAACAATGAATTAGCGTCGGTGTATGGGCCAATTCATAGACAATTGCCTAATTTGACCATACGGGATAGTGTATCGTCCCGACGGAATCCAGTACGCTTATTTTCAGGATTCCATCATCGGCCGCCGGGGTCAGGTCGTCTGGCCTCCCACGTTTTTCTGATCTGAACCCACTCGAGTTTTTATTGTGGGAGTGCATCAGACAGAACGTTTATGCTACCGAAGCCCAAGATCACGACCTGACCAGTCTGATCTCGCTAACTTGCGACAGGCATTGGGGACCAACTTAGACAGCTGTTTCCTGTCAGGGACTGCATTCGACATCGCCGTGAGGCGTGCATGCGCGCTGGAAGTTGCTTGTGAACAGATGCGTGGAACTATGTTCGAGTCCCAGCCGTACGGTCACACATGTGATAAACGTAGAATTCGATCTGAAAATAATTAATGACTTCGGTATTTTGCTTTCATTTATCGTAATTAAAAGTAATAAATGAATAAAGTGTAAAAAATCGAATGTGTACATGAATGGGCAGTTACTTCATTTGATTAAATGTGTGTCGGAATGTAGCACGGGAAGTGTTATGAATCCAATAAAAATTTGTAAGATTTTAGTTTTTCACGTCGGTGACTATGAACAATGCCGTCTTCTATGATGTGGCGCCGTATAAATGTTTTGCTAACCGATGTTTCGGAGGAACGTATCGCCTCACGCTGGTTCATCGCTCGTGGATTTTTATATCCTGAAGATGGAGGCGATACGTTCCTCCGAATCGTCGGATAACAAAATATCTACACGGCGCCACATCGCAGAAGACGGCATTCTTAAATAAGAATTTATGTATATTCTGTGTTCCAGATTATCTCTCCAACATTCTCCTAAAGATTTAAAGATTTATGTATTATCCTGGACCGCCTCCATGATATTTTCTTGGCGGAGGACAGTAAAACTGCTTAAAACCTTAGGTTTAAGCTGTTTAAGAATGCTTCTGCGGAATTCCCCGCAGTGTTGAGCGTAGAAGAATAATTGTTTTAACTTGTTTAAATTTATTACATTAGTATTTTGGTATATTTCATTTTGTTCTCAATTCTGATGTTTGTGCCCTGGCTTCCCACGCTTGCCAGCACCATACATGCCAACCGTACATATTGACATAGGCCAGAACACATATTCACAATAATTATACCTGTAAATACAAACGTTTTTACGTAAATACATGGCCCGCACGCGAACTCTCCGCTACAGCGCCCAGGAGTTCACCAAATTACAGTCAGGTAATGTGAAGCAGAAATGCAGAGGTGCCATTGGTTTGATGAAGCCGTATTTGAGAAAACCTGAAGGATGAGCACAAGTTCTTGCTCCTCATTGTTAACTGTAGTATCTCCGTGCACACCATATTAGTAACATAAATCATTTAGGGCCGCGCTATAGCTCAAGCGGTTAGTCGCTGGCTTTCCACCGCGGCGGCCCGGGTTCGATCCCGGGGGTCTGGTCAGGTGGGATTTGTGGTGGACAAAGTGGCGCTGGGGCAGGTTTACTCCGAGTACTTCGGTTTCTCCTGCCATTCTTCATTCCACCAATTGCTCCACAATCACCCTCACCTATCATCTGGGGCTGGTACAATAGGCCAGAAGTCGCCGCAGCACAAGGGACTTAGTCCCACCCCACTAGCAATAAAAAAATCATAAATCATATTCATATTTTTCGTATTACTTTTTCTTTCAGCTCAGATATGTGTTTTTGCTATTATGTATTAAAGTTTGTAGACCCATAATACTTTTTAAGGGTCGGCACTGTTTTAGGGAGCATTAGTAGACGGCAGGAACTGACTGGTCTGTAAAACGCTTAAGAGCCCTTACTTAGAGAAATCATCACAGGCCGGTGAGATTACAAAACATTGCACTGAAGATCTGTCAATTTCAGCCACATTTTGTGAATTCTCTTTAAATTTGTAGAAACACACTTTAGTTCATCCTGTTCTGTCGTCTGGGATATAAGGCCATGTAGTTCGTTGAAATTCAACTGATGTCGCCTCCATCTTCAGGGCCGAAGAATAAGCCAAGAAACCAATTTGCTACCTGCTTCACACCGGTTTTTTGCTTGGCTTATTCTTCGGCCCTGAAGATGGAACGGACTACACGGCGTTATATCGCATAACTCACCGTTGTGATAACCTCAGATCCTATAAGCACACCTTTCCTTCTTGATCCCGTCCCCGGAAACGTACAGAGTGTTGTACAATGAAACGATTGTCCTGTTGCAGGTAATGGATGGATTCATGATCATTGTCTCGTGTACGGGGAACATCTTGTTCGTCACGCACACCGTGGAGGCGTTACTTGGCCATGCGCAGGTAAGACATTCAGAGATGAAAACGGAACATGACTGGAATTCGGTAAGGGAACGAAGGTTTCATGCAGGACCGATTGGACACCATTATGCCTGTACTGTAACGTCTGTTGTAGCTAGAAATATGGATCTGGGTGTGCAGTTTCGTTGTCTGGTGGACACCAGTCCCCATGTTAGGTGGGTCCCTGTCACCACGGCATGGCGCGTCCTCAGGTTGCGGATGGAGGAGACGCCCTCCACTTTTGGAGGGAAGCTGCGAATATATTGAATAAGCAGTCGCGGACAGCCGACAAGGGGTGGCCCTCCAGCTTGGAGGTTGTGCGTGGGGCTAACAACTCCTCGCCGTAAAAAATCAATATGTTACGAAAATGAACACAAAGCCTCGGTCCTGGACGGATTCTTTGGATAAACGACCTAAGCTAATGAAAATGGATATGAGATTTGGCACTTGGAATGTACGAAGTTTGTATAGGGCAGGTTCGCTCAGGGCAGTGGCAGAAGAAATCTTAAAATATAAGTTAGGTTTAGCAGGAGTGCAGGAGGTCAGATGGGATGGAGGTGACATCACACCAGCAGGAGTATACATTTTTCTATGGAAAGGGGAAAGAAAATCATGAACTAGGTATAGGTTTTTTCGTACATAAGAGAATCGTATCAGCAGTTAAGAGGGTAGAGTTCGTTAGTGATAGGATATCATATATAATACTAAAAGGTCACTGGTGTGATATCATTGTTATGAATGTCCACGTCCCAACAGAAGATAAGATTGATTATATAAAGAATAGATTCTGTGAAGAACTAGAACATGTATTTGATAAATTCCCAAAGTACCCTATGAAAATTTTGTTCAGGAGATTTCAATGCCAAAGTAGGAAAGGAAGAAATTTTCAGACCAACAATTGGGAATGAGAGTTTGCATGAAATTAGTAATGATAATGGAGTTAGAGTTGTAAACTTTGCCACATCAAAAAATCTTACTGTCAAAAGTACAATGTTCCCACATCGTAACATCCATACATTTACTTGGACATCTCCTGATGGGAAGATACACAATCAAATAGACCATACTTTAATAGACAGGAGACGGCACTCAAGTACACTTGATGTCCGAACATTCAGGGCAGCAGACTGTGATACTGACCACTACCTGGGGGTGGCAAAGGTTAGGGAAAGACTGGCAGCGAGCAAACAAACAACACACAGAGTTCATATGGAGAGGTTCAATCTCAAGAAATTAAATGAGGTAGAGGGTAAAGAACAGTATTGTTTTGAAATCTCAAATGGATTCACGGCTTTGGAAAACTTGGAAACTGAGGTGGATGTTAATAAAGCCTGGGAAACTATTAGAGAGAATATAAAAATTTCTGCCAAAGAGAGGCTAGGTTATTATGAACCGAAGAAGCATAAGCCATGGTTCGATGAAGGATGCTCAAAATTATTAGATCAAAGAAAGCAGGCCAAATCGCAATGGTTACAGGATCCAAGCGAGTTAAATGGGGATAATCTGAACAATATAAGACGTGAAACCAGCAGGCATTTCAGGACCAAAAAGAGGGAATGTCTGAAAGACAAAATTGTTGAGCTTGCAATGAACAGTAATAACAAGAAGATTAGAGACCTGTATAGAGGAATAAATGACCTTAAGAGGGGTTACCAGCCTAGCAGTAACTTACTGAAGGATGAGAATGGTGATCTGCTTGCAGATTCCCACAACATTTTGAATAGGTGGAGGAACTACTTCTCTCAGTTATTGAATGTACATAGGGTCAGTGCTGTTAGGCAGACAGAAATCCATATAGCTGAGCCGTTAATACCTGATCCTAGCCCTTTTGAGGTTGAAAATGCTATTGCAAAATTGAAACGGTATAAATCGCCACGTAATGATAAAATTCCGGCAGAACTTATTGAAGCAGGACGTGAAATATTACATTCTAAGATCCACTATCGAATTACTTCTATTTGGCATAAGGAAAAATTGCCTGATCAGTGGAAGGAGTCTATTATTGTACCAGTTCACAAGAAGGTTTATAAAACTGACTGTAGTAATTATCGAGGGATATCACTGCTATCAACTTCATATAAAATTTTGTCCAATATTCTTCTTTCAAGGCTAAGTCCACATATAGATGAAATTATTGGGGATCATCAGTTTGGGTTTCGACATAACAGATCAACTACAGATCAGATCTTTTGCATTCGTCAGATATTGGAGAAAAAATGGAAGTACGATGAGACAGTACATCAGCTATTCATAGACTTCAAGAAAGCATAGATTCAGTTAGGAGGGAAGTATTGTACAATATTCTGATAGAGTTTGGGATACCCATGAAACTAGTTAGGCTAATTAAAATATGTTTAAACAAACTGTAGCGTAAAGTCCATATAGGTAAACATTTGCCTGATAATTTTCCTATCCAGAATGATCTAAAACAAGGAGATGCTTTATCGCCACTCCTTTTCAACTTTGCCTTAGAATATGCAATTAGGAAGGTCCAGGAAAACCAGGTGGGACTGAAATTAAACGGGACACATCAGCTGTTGGCCTATGCTGATGATGTGAATCTACTGGGTGATAATGTAGATACCACAAAGAAGAACACAGAAACTCTAATTGACGCAAGTAGAGAAGTTGGTCTAGAAGTAAACACAGAGAAAACTAGTATATGTTACTGTCTCGTTACCAAAATGCAGGGAAAAATCATGATATAAAGATAGGTAACAGATGTTTTGAAAATGTGGAACAGTTCAGATATTTGGGAACAATGATAACAGATCGAAACCTGATTCAGGAGGAAGTTAAGAGGCGATTGAACTCGGGTAATGCTTGCTACCATTCAGTCCAGAACCTTTTGTCTTCTCCTCTGTTGTCCAAAAACAGAATATACAAAACTATAATTTTGCTTGTGGTTCTGTATGTGTGTGAAGCTTGGTCTCTGACATTAAGGGAGGAACATTGATTGAGGGTGTTTGAGAAGAGGGCGTTGAGGAGAATATTTGGACCGAAGAGAAATGAAGTGACAGGAAGTTGTAGAAAATTTCATAATGAGGAGCTTCATAACTTGTACTCTTCTCCAAGTATAATTAGAATGGTCAAGTCAAGGAGGATGAGGTGGGCAGGTCATTTAGCACTAAAGGGGGAAACGAGGAATGTGTATAGGATATTGGTGGGAAAACCAGAATATTAGAATGAATGTTAGAGAGATAGTATTGGATGGTATGGATTGGATAGATCTGGCTCAGGATAGGGACCAGTTGAGGGCTCTTGTGAACACGGTAATGAACCTTCGGGTTCCATAAAATGCTGGGATATTCTTGAGAAGCTGCAGAATTGGCGACTCCTCCAGAAGGGCTCAGCTCCATGAGTAAGTAAGTAAGTAAGTAAGGTAGAAACCAGTTCATAGGGTCCCATTTTCTCCATTGTTGTACCTTTTATTGTTTTAAATGCTGTTACAGTAGTATCAGCTTTCGAAATATATTTTGCCCTTCCCCGTTTCAGTTCGAAATTTTTTCCATATAACAAGTAGTGTCGAAGTTCAAAATGACAATAGGAAGGACGGAAAAAAGTGTTTATTTTACGATATATATATATATATATAATTACGTGTATGAGTGAGTGTAGACGGGGTTTTGAATTGGATATCGTATTTATTGACCATTTACAGGCTGCAACTACAATAACTATAACACTCTCGCTGTTTTACACATTTAACAAAATCACGCTAAGTCTTTTCCAGCCAGCAGTGTCTTCACTAGTAGTTGCCTGGTAAAGGCTTTAACAATCGCTTTTCCTCTGCTCCCGGGCTGATGTCCTGTCTGAGCTGCGGCTTCTTTCCAACTGACTATTCTTGCTCCGATTGTCTTCCTTTTAACCCCTTTGCACGGACCAAGTAGAAGACAGTTTCTAGCGGTACCTCTATTGTTGCATGCGTATACGTTGCCCCGGGAACGTGTTTACCGAGTCGTTGCCTAGAAACGGCTCTACACGCTGCAATATATTGTATTTATATGTCTATTAGATGAGAATTGCAAGAGATGTGCGGTCATTTCCTAGTGCAGTTGAGGTTGTAGCTGCAATAGACGAGCAGTATACTTGTATATTCACCATGGGGAACTACCAGTATTCCACAGTTTATTGTGGTGGTGGGACTGCACCTTATTACCTTCTAACTTGTCTGTGAAAACCGTATCATCCCTTAGCTACAACCTGCCCTTCAACTTTAGGCCTGTCATTAGTTCCGCTACTGCCGAAATTAATCTCAGCTTCTTTGGGACACGCTGTTACCTTCACCCAGAAATAATAATGTTGCTTGGACTGGAAAGAACAGAGTGTGGAAGTACGTTTTTTGTGGTCTGATTTGTGTGATTACGCAGCGTGGTCTGATACTCGAGGGAGGAACACATGAGTTATTGCAAGTAACTCGCAGCGATGGTTCCACGTTTTCCCATCAGTGGCAGTGCGTCCGCATGGCGTCGACTTCCACATGATGCAGGTTATGAAGGCTGTAATGTATTTCCAAACGGCTACGCTTGTTCTGTTCCGCGACTTCTTTGGGAACCCACCTGGCACACACTTCGCGGAAGTGAAGTGTGTGGTGTATGATTTCATACGCAGCACTGTGATCGATCTGCATTTGGTTGTAACTTATTCACCTTTCACTTGTCGAGCATTAGTTCAGTAGTGTTCGTCATGACAGTTGGTCGGCCATTTTGGAACATATCAATCCATCCATTACATGCTTCGCTGCTGTAAGACACCTTACCGCCCTCATATTCTTGATGATTTTCCGCGCCAGTTACCCCTGCTCCCTCCTCTACTTTGGTGCATGTGATAAGCGGAGCGGCCATATTGGCGCCACTAGTGGTGAATGTTAAGTAAGTCACTACAACGGCAGGGATGTTCCGAGCTTACGGTTGCGTGCGCATTCAGCAGTGGGCCCAGTCGCAAAAATAAAATGAACATTCTGCAAATACTTTCAGACTTGCCCTCGCAGAAGCGTTCTTTTT